AGAGAGAGAGAGAGAGAGAGAGAGAGAGAGAGGGAGGGAGACAGAAGAGAGAGAGAGAAAGAGAGAGAGAGATTGCAAATAATTAATCTAGCCAATAAAAAGCCGTCTCTTCCGCAGCCCCCGCACCCCCCCATCATGCCCCTTCTCAGCGGCCACGAGGCAGTCCCCCTGGGGATGGAGGAGCTGGCACAGCAGGAGGAGCATTTCGTCGGCTTCACCCACGGCTTGGTTCGGCTCACGCCAGGGAGCTGGTTCCTTCCCGCAGCCTTCACCAACTTCGCCGACAAGATTTACAACTTCCAGGTAAGAGCTCGATGAGAACATACGCTTAACTGATGCGGGACACGAGACCATGAGAAGATAAAACTCTCCGTAGCCACGGACTCGCAGCTAACAGTGTCTCTCGCAGTGGCGGACTGACGATGTGCTGGTGATGGCCTACCCTCGCAGCGGCACGAGCTGGCTGCAGGAGGTCGTTTGGACCATGAAGAATAACCCCGACCTCGAGAACCCGATGGCCGACATGCCGCTCCTGGCCAGGAGCCCCTATGTTGAGTATGTAGTTTATTTTTAGAATTCGTTCCTTTTAGCTAAAAAAAGGCCTTCTGCATTCACGAGCGATAATATACACACCTTCCTGCCACTCTGCTTGATGGCTTGGCCGTCTTTTCAGCATGGACATGATGATGGATGGCAAGAAGATGCCACCCCTCACGCCGGACAACCCGCTCCTCCAGGGCTTCATCAAGATGTGTCCGGGAGGAAATCCGGCTGACGGAGTAAACTTGCAGTTGACTGCAGCCACACCCAGTCCCAGGATAATCAAGACACATCTCCCCCTTTCCCTGTTACACCCAAGCCTGCTGGACACTCTTAAGGTAATTCAGATCTGTAGGTAGTCCTTCTTGCATAGTGAATATTTTTGATCTCAGTGTAACAGGTATTTGATCATCCCTTTGGCATAGCTAAAATAATAGCCATGTATCAGTACGAAAGTGAGTAGCTGCACCTCACCGCATAAATACCAAGCTTCACACACTACTCCTGTCCCATCTATGGTGTTCAACCGCACCTGAAAGCTGATGTTATTATCATGGATCATGCCCATCTAATGAGAAGTAAAATGTAACAAAAATTATCATGCTACTGTGCCTTGGTGCCGGCGACAGGTGGTGTACGTGGCTCGAAACCCCAAGGACGTTGTCGTCTCCCTGCACCACCACTGCCGTCTCCTCAAGACACTGGACTACTCGGGAACCTTGGAGCAGTTCGTCAAGTATTTTGTGGACGATGACGGTAAGGGCTGTCTGGGTCTTATCATTTCTAGCATGTCGTATGTTCAGGATACTGATGTAAGAGATCTTTAACATTAGGTTTCGCATTTTTATTTTCCTTATTACCTCATAAGTCTATCAGAATTGTAAAAAGAAAAAAGAGAGAGAAAAGCCAAATCGACCACATGCACGGTTCCCTCCAGTGGTGTACGGGCCGTACTGGCAACACGTGAAGGAGGCCTGGACGAAGCGTGAGGCCTCCAACCTGCACTTTGTCTTCTACGAGGACCTGAAGGCTGACCCGGCCTCGGAGCTCAAGAGGCTCAGCGTTTTTCTGGGCTGCAACCTCGCTAAAGACCAGATGGAGAAAGTAAGCCGAGTGTCCCCCTTGCATGAGTGAGATTAATGTTGGCGCACAAAGGCATTCACTGAGGCACGGTTACTGACTGTTGATAGCGATTATAATCATTACTACATTAAAAACAATAATAACTACAACAACAATGATAATCATAAAATAAAATAACAATAATTTCAATAGTAATTAATATTACCATTATTATTGTTACGTATACCAATACGCACAGACGCAAATCCCAAGCCTACAGTTACAAATCGTTGATGTGGAATTATCTAGAGTTATCAATTCGACTCCAAGCACAAATGAGTCATGAGTCGTGTTCGAGTCAAGTTCCAGCGCCGTCAGGTTGAAGTTTCTCCCGACGAAGCCAATAACATTCCCCTCGCCCTCCCGCAGCTCATCAGGCACACCAGCTTCGCCGAGATGCAGGCGCGGGACAACGTGATGGGCGTGAAGGCCGCCGAGAACCCCGTCATGAACCAGGCGTGGTCAGGAGGACGGCGGCTTCTTCAGGAAGGTGAGGCGCTGGGGGGGGGGGGGGGCTGGGGGGGCTGCTGGATCGTCCACCCTGCCCGATGTCGGTCTGTCTGTGTTTCTCTCTATGTAATTTATTCTCTAGATCTTCCTCTTCTTTCTTTCTCTCTCTGTGTGTGTTTGCGTGCGTGCGTGTGTGCTTGTGTGTGTGTGTTTGTGTGTGTGTATATGTGTGTGTGCTTATTTGTGTGTCTGTGTGCTTTGCGTGCGTGAGTGTGTTTGTGTGTGTTGTGTTGTGTGTGTTTGTGTGTGTATATATATATATATATATATATATATATATATATATATATAATATATATATATATATATATGTATATATACATTCTTTTAATAACTAATATTGTGTCATGATAATTACGACGATCAAAAGCTATTACCATATCCTCTCCCTCGGGCCCAGTATCCAAACCCGCGCAGTCATCACAAGCTTGATCTCCACCACCGCTATGAGCGCCATCATCACTTTATCCAATATCATTAACGTCGTAATCATGACGCAGCGCCCTTTCTTTATCATCATCATCTCAGTAGCCATCATGATCATCGACGTCATTATTATCAGCTCTGCTCTGCGCAGGCGAGGTGGCAGCTGGAAGCCCACCACCTGAAGGCGGCCAGGCGAAGACCGAGGGAGTCTTAAAGCTACAAGCGCCTGCTCTCCTCAACCTTCGCACCTCAGCCTATCCTCCAGCCTGCTTCATCGACACGGAGAGGTAAGTCTGGACACGCAGCAGAAATGTAACCTGAGTTTCTATAGGCCTATAAGAAATCGCGAGCTATACGCTTCCTGTTTCGCTCATGGCTTTGCAGCTGCGTCTGCTGTATCAATGTGTTAGCACCAATGAACTTTAGGGCTACTTCTTGTGAATGGTAAGCGTCAATCTTTTCGCACATTAAGGATTTTATCCAACATCATACAAACCGTTTTGTTATTCTTACACGTCTCCCAGGCTTGTATGTGTTACGTGCACGAGGCGACCATGTTCAGTCATATTTCAAATCTTCTTCTACAAACATGTGCCAGTGGACCCCCACCCCACTGAAAAAATGCCCGCGATGAATCAAGCGGCTTCTGCAACAAGGCGAAGCGAACGTCCTCACTCCCCCCCCCTCCCCACTGGCCATTGTTCCGTCTAACCTTCTCCCGTTAAGGTACTGTCACACTAGCACTTTTTCCGTCAATTTTTTTACAATTTTATTTTACATAAATACAAACATTCTCTAATATAGCTCTTGATTTGAGTATGCTTGGCTAAAAAAGTTGACGGAAAGATTTTCAGACGGAAACGATCATTATCGTCTGACTGGAAAATCGACAATTCGCTCAAAAATTGACAAAATTTCCGAAATTTGTTAAAAAAAAGAAAAGTACTGGTGTGACAGCACCTTTAGTTAGCTGCCGACGTATGTATCCCCCGGTGGTCTTTTTGCTGGACCCTGCTTGACTCTGCCCGCGCCAGTGTGCCTGGGGAGCCAGACTATTGGTCTATCTATCTAATGCAGTATTTAATTTGTGAATGGCTTAAAGACTGAAAATATAAATTCATGAAATAGATCAAGCGTTTCTTTGCCCTTGGTATTCCAGGACTTGATAAAATTTGGTGATATGGTTGTCTATGAAGTGTCATGAGGTATGAGATTCCGAACTGATGGAAGTAAACAATTAACACATGAATACTCCGATACCATATGATTTATGATGATTAGTGACACATAAATATTGGAAAATTGTAAATGGGCGTTAAGTCACATTATGGCTTAAAAAATGTGACCAAGAATAAACAATTATCGGAAAAATCATATTCCATACCTATTGTTATATTCTTTATCAAATGTGTCAGTAGGGTGCTGGAGGTTATATTTAGCATATTTATAAAGATGGTTATATCAATGCGGATAAGAATTTTGAAAATACTGCCAAGTAAAATGAATTGACTACTAATCATTATCGCTGATAAGTCATTATTCGATATGAAAAATTGCTGATTGCAAACAATACAGCAAATCACTCCCTATCTCCATGCGACAATTGTGCCACTACAAGTGTCGCTGGCACGGCGATCGCCCACCACTCATTCTCTGCGCGAAAACGCGAGCGGGCGCTCCGTGGCACAGCCTCATATTTTTAAACTCGCCTTCAATGAAAGTGCAGTTTCAGATGCTTATATCATCGTAACAGAAATGGATTCTTGGATGTTTCTCGTTATAATGACAGTGTAAGGTAAGCAAATACATTATCTCTGGGTGGACACTACAGGTCTGTTGAACAATAATTTTCTTCAGAATCCAGATTCTTTGGTATATTGTTGTTATACGACTCAAACTTAAATCAGTCGATCGTCTTCAAAGCTACTGTTGGCAGCTTCAAACGAGCTCTTCGGAGATTGCTGCTACAGTCCTATTAATATTGCATGGCTATTTTTCAGTCCTTTCTCTTATTCTATTGTTTTTGAGACATTGTTCTAATTTACATTTGTTTTCCTTTTCTATCTGTTCTGGTTCTTTAAGTACAAATAAATACATATATAGGTTATGCTATGGCATGGCGAATCAAAAATATTGTAAAATTTCTTTTTCATCTATGCTAATGTATTTCCTTGGGTGCCTTTTAAGAGGAACGCATTCCTCAAAAGGCTCAGCCCTTTTACCATGTTATTGTTGTAACTGATACAAGTGTATGTGCCACCAATGGCTGAATACAGCATTTGAAATTGAATTTGAAACACTGCTCTGACGCTTGCATTCTGCTTTGCGCTTCTATTTTCATCAGCATCTCGGAAGAACTTTAACCTTAACGATTCTATTAAGACAGCGAAGATTCTACTAAC